TGTATGGTATATATATATATATATACCATCTTGATCAAAAAGTTCCCGGAATTACCACCAAATGATGCTCTGAGTCAGCTGATTTGAATTCCTGTTTTTTTGGTTAGATTGCCACATCTATCATTGACATTCCCATCAAATTTTATTATCATAGTTTGACATTTGTAAAAGTTACGCCGTCTTGAGTATATTTACCTCTGCACGTATTTTCGATTTTTTACAGTTTAAAAATGGAGTTGAATTTGCAACGAGTTTTGCGTTAAAAATGGATTCAATGGTGTAAAAACCTTGGAAATGTTGGGAAACTATTTCGATAGTGATACTCTAAAGAAAACAGCCGTTTATGAGTGACATGAAAAAACCACGGGGAACGCGTTTTAATAGCCGAAAGGAGGTAATGGACTCTGATGGCTATACCGACAATAGAGTTCCAGAAATGTTTCGAGAGCTGGATCAAGCGCTGGCATAAGTGCATTGCAGTCGATGGGGAATACTTTGAAGGGGACAATATCACTTTTGATGAATAAAACTTGTATTTTGAATTTTCTAAATGAATTCCGGGAACTTTTTGATCAAGATATATACGTATTTAGTAGTTATCATAAACAAATTTTAATTTTTTTCAGTTCTAAATGGTTTCTAGAATCGAAGTATAAGCATAGTCAATGCAATAAATTGTGTATCTGTTTATAAATTTAAGTTTATTATGTTTTACTGTGTAACATTCGAAAGTCAATTTTGTTAAAATTTTTTTCTTTGCATATATGTCTGTCTCAATATATATCCGCACTTGGTTCCATATTTGACACAATTTTTAATTTCTGACGAATAACACTAATTTTATAATATGCATTGGTGCTGCTGAATGTTCATGTAAATGTATAATCTATTTGCGATTTGACAATCAATTTGACTATCCGTAATTGTACATACAATTTTATCATTGACCGCTATTATTAATTCGTAATATTTTTATAGTTTTTCTTGCGGAAGCTTTCTATGTTTTATTGGATTGAATAATCAAGATAGAATTCAAAGAAACATCGCAGTAAGGCGGGTTAACACTAGGATTGCATAAAGAACTTTGTCAAGATAGTTTAGTTACAAGAAGTTTAATTACAATTTATACATTTTGTTGAAAATGACTTAAATTAAGTCGAAATATGAACGAAAATATATGTCTAACAGAAGAGACATAAATTTATGTCTAATTTTATACTAGCGCACTAACTGCGTTGACACTTATTTCCCGGGATTTTTTAGTACTTTACTACATATGCATTTTTAATAGATTCAATATTATCTATCTTGACATTTCTTGATGACATGCCAAATGTTCTGATGAATGACTTCAAGAATATACTTCGACATGAATATATGAAAAGAATGATTAACTATGTATCAATACATAATAATGAAGAATATACGTTGGATCTATATAAAGAATTAATAGTTTATGCACAAAAGATTATATAATAACTATATATCAATACATTATATAATAACTATATATCAATACATAATAATGAAGAATATACGTTGGATCTATATAAAGAATTAATAGTTTATGCACAAAAGATTATATAATAATTGCATCAACATATATATCATTGTAGAAAACATATAGTAATAAACATGTAAAAGAGTAATAAAAAAGATAATATAAACAGCACTAATTTATGAATTAACATTAAATATTTATATATTAATATTGTAACATCAATACTATTAATTAATAAATTCTTTGTAATTCACATCTTATGTTGTTATATTCCATATATCCATATATACATATATACATATATTCCATATGTATATATATATATAGAATATGAAATCAAATTTTAAGGAATTAAACCTTTTTAAATAAAAATCATGTAATGTATACACGTGCGTATAGTAAAAGTGTAAAGCTTTGCATAAAGCTAAACATATAAATCT